AGGGTAACCCTTCCAACGTACGAGATACTCGACGTGGGGAGGGTTGTCGTCGGTGACTCGGCGACCGATGATGTCTGAAACGAGGAACTCCTCGTGGCCGTCCGCCATGATGGGTGGAGGGCGCTCATATGGTCGTCCAGCGAAACGCTCAGACGGTCTGCGGTACGGACGCAGTAACGAGACGTGGTAGACATCATGCACACGAGCCTGGCGTAGGTAGTCGGGCAGCTTCACACGAAAGCTGACCGGGCTAGATGTCGTATCCGAACGGACGACCTGGAGGATGCTGCATGGGCCAAAGAAGCGACGCCGAAACTTGCGAAACGTGTCCGCTTCGAGCTGTAAGTGGCGGGCGTCGATAAGCACATCATCACCGACCTTGAATGGGTGATCCATCCTCGATCGGTTCGCACGTGCTGCCATGCGAGTCTGGGAAGCGGCTATGTGCTCATGTGCGGTCTTCATAATCGATGTCATGTGTGCAACCCAATCATCCAGCGCGGGACAACTCGTGCCGGGGTGCATCTGGGACGGTCGAATGAAGTCCACGGGAACTCGCGGGTGATAGCCGAGGTCGCAATAGTAAGGCGACATCCCCGTGGCTGGCGAGACGGCGTGGTTGTAGGCTATCTCCGCGTGGGCAAGATGGAGATCCCMCTGCTGGTCRTCACGAACAATCTTTCGGAGAATATCCCCGAGAGTCCKGTTYGTGATCTCGGTCTGACCATTAGTCTGAGGATGGTAAGACGAGGAGAAGCGGAGCTGAGTGCCGTACACCTCGTGGAGCCGTCGCCAGAATCGGCTGGTAAAGCGCGGGTCACGGTCAGATATGATGCTCAGAGGTAAGCCGTGGTCACGCACGACTCGGTCAAATACGATGTCGGCGACCTCACGTGCACTGATGGCATAGCGGCACGGAACAAAGCGTGCACGCTTCGTGAAGCGGTCGACGACGACCAGGATAGCATCATGACCGCGGGGGGTCGGAGGTCGTAGAGGACCGATAAAGTCCATCGAGATGGACTGCCAACGACCCTCAGAGGTGGTTCGCACTGTTCACCTCCTGACAGGTGGGACACTCTGCGACATAGGCCTTCACAAAGTCCTTGTGCTTCGGCCAGACGTACAGGCGGCTCACACGAGCCAACGTCTTGTGGAAGCCCATATGACCGGCAGCTGCCTGGTCATGGAACTCTGCAACTGCTCGAACACGTAGCTGTCCAGTGGAGGGAACCCAAATACGGGGCTCTCTGGTGCCCTGTGAACCGTGCCAGTACACAAGACCGTTGTCCCCGAGAGAGTAGTTCGGGACGGTCTTGCCACTCCGAAGGGTCGCGTGGATGTCGCGATAGTCTGGGCAGTGGCGGTACTGAGTGCGAAACTCGTCGATCACCGAGTGGTGGACGGTGGTGACCGAGATGGAAGAGAGCTAGATGTGCTCCTGGTCGTGGTCAGGGCGCCGGGATA